CGTTTATTAATATACGGGCGTTTTGATAATTTGCCATATTGTTTTGAAATTATCAGAAACGTTGACACACTGGAAATAACTTACAGCTCTTACAGCCTAAAGGCACGATTTTAAGCCTCCGCTCTGCCACTGCAGCGTCCGTGGATGCACAGACCCTGACCGCTGTGCTACTGGGACTGCACTCGATAGAGCGGCGAAATTGAGCCAACAGAATTGTCGCACTTCGTACTTAACCACCCAAAGGTGTGCTTCCACTCTGCATTTTTCTCCACAGGCGACTCTACTGGATCGATGCAAGGCTGGATTACATTGCCTTCTGTAACTACAACGGTTCTCAACGTTACACAGTGCTTCGAGATGCAGGAAAGATTCGCCATCCGTTCTCCATTACCTTGTTTGAGGACACGTTATACTGGTCTGACTGGAGTGATAGACAGGTTAAGCAGACAAAAAAGTTCCATGAGGGTAACGTTACGTTAGTTTACACTGCTGGGTTTCGACCTATGGACTTGCACGTAGTCCATCCTCTTCAACAACCACAAGGTAAATGATTTCATCATAACAAAAATTTTATTAGATGTATTTTTTTGTACTGCGCAAATCTACCTTTAAATCGGCGATCCAAGCTACGTTCACCTGGCGATTAAGTTTGGTGTAAGTCACAGATTTGGCGACCAATGCACAGTGGTCACAAGGCTGTTTTGAAGTAGCCGTTAAATTACATAATTTCTTTATTAAACAATCATATTTTGGAACTATGTACTGTCGAACTTGTATTAAGCAGCACCGTAGTGAGCGGTCACCTTGTATTAAGCGGTCGAATTTTTTAGCTTAATCGCAGTAATTTTCACCTCCATTAAGCAGATCCCAAAGGTTGTATTGAACGGTCACTTAGAGCGGGACCACTCAAATGAAACTAGGAATAATCTTTAAAGTTATCTTTAATTTCTTTCCCAAAATCAAAGTAAGTAGAATTTTGAGCGAGATTGTGTAGTCAATCATGGCACGAAGTGGTGTTTGTATCGTTTTTCATAACACCCCTTATTTGTCCAACCTGCTTTCAGCGGTCAACATGTTTTAAGCGGTCATCTCGCCATTTACCGTGGTTGACCGCTAAATACAGGTTTGACTATTTTAATTAAAATCTATCTTTATTGTAATTCCCCCTTCTTTAACTTAAACGGAAATCATTGAGAGGGAGTGAATTTTCTGTTTCAGGTGTAAATTATTGTTTGAACAGCACTTGTTCTCACCTGTGTCTGCTGAAACCGTCAGGATACAGTTGTCATTGTCCTGTGGGTAGGGTACTACAGGACGACAATGTCACATGCCTTGGTAAGATTGCTTCTGCTCGTCTTAAGTTATTCAACTGTGCATTGGAACCCGGTAGTTACCCATCTTGAAAGCTCTTTTCATTTTTGTTTTTATTGGACAGTTTAATGCGGTTTTAATACTCAATACAGTAATAGTCTGGAAATCAAACGATTTCCTAAAACACTTATATCTCGCAAGGTATGCACTGTTAGATAAAAGTTACTTTAGCACACTTTTGATTGAGTTTCGTTTAGCCTAAACCTAAGTTATGGCAACGGTTAATTGATTGGTTTTATTTTTCCATCTCACTGGTTGAGAAGCGTTCTATTGACATACGATAAGCTCCTGAAAGTGTCAGATTACTTTCGACACTCACTAGAAAATTACTTTTTTCTACAGAGGAAGCGTTCCTGTTGTATGCCAAGAAGAACAGAATCAGTGGAATATCCTTGAACCCAAGTATCACCAAGGATCAGATGTTACCTGTGAGACAGTTAAGGACGGCTGTCGGAGTTGATTTCAGCGTAGAAGAGCAGTATGTGTTCTGGAGCGACATCTCTACAGATTCTATCTCCAGGGTGTTTGTGAATGGCTCAGGCCGGGAAACAATTATCGATGGTGAGTGGTATGAGTGCAGAGTGAGGAAAATTTGAAAATTTGCAATTATGTAGCCTGAGTACACTTCAAATGGTAGACTTAACAATTTGTGAAAACAAGAGTGGGTCACTGATAGAGAGAATAAGCAATACTTTGTTCGCCAATCTCCACCGACAATTCCTAAGCCAATATTTCACGGTAACGACTGCAGCCATGCCCTTCCACACTGCACCGATGTGAAACACTGAAAAACTTTTTTTCGGAAGTTTTTTAGTTCTGAAATCGTCTTGTCACCGCACAAGAATATTGGTAGGTTTTTTCGAGTTCTATAAACACTTTGAAATAAGGCTAAATATTGGACCTTTGTTGTGAAAATGAGTTGTATTACGAAAATGAAGATCATTTTCTTATCTCAGGCTTCAGTCTAACCCTCGTTTTCAAGCAGAGGCAGTGGACATCTAGAGAAGAGGTTATTGTAAG